CACTGTAGACAGTCATAAAAAATTTATTCCACTGTCTAATGTCAGAGGAAAATCATTATCCTTACTAGATAAGCAAGACACATAAGAGCCAAGAAACTTGCCTAAATCAGGTGGTCTACAAGAGCACAGGGACTGGAACTCAGGAGGCCCTCTACATAGGCATTACATCCCTTCAGTGAAAGCATGGTTCCTTTTCACTTCATTTGTGCCCAGAACTTTTAAGCAGTAACACCTCTGGCATCCGAATACAGTAAAAGCATTCATGTGAAAATAACAGGTCAAAATAAATTTCTGAATAAGGTGCTAATTTCTGCATGGCTTTCCTTCCTGATGTTGGGGATTTTCAGCAAAACTCACCTTTCACTCAAGTGTGATTGAATCAATATGTTTTTCCATCATTTATGTTGGAAGGAGCACCATAATACAACACTCCTTCAATTACAGAAGATGGAATCAATAAATTTCACCTCCATTTATGTGGTTAAGGTCTAAGTCAGCATAGCCCACCCTGTATTTATGGGGGTGGCCTTAATACAGCTCACTTCCATTTAATGGGGAGGAACCAATATGTCTTGCTTTCACTTCCAGGGGGTGGGAAGAAAAGAATCAATAAATCCACCATCATTTATTGGGAGGGATCTATAGATCTCACCTTGATTTACCAGGGAGATCAATATCTCAGCCTTCATTAAAGGGGGTGGTATGTTGGACTAAATAAGGTTCATCTGATTTTAGAGCAAATTGACAGACTATGTCTCTCCATGTATGAGGAAATGATTCAGTATGGCCTTCATATATATATACAAGGCTTGGACACCATATGGTTCACCACCTAACACAGGGATACATGCATTTCAGCTCAGCACTAGGAGTGGGAAGACAAGGGCAGGTTCTATACAGTGGGAGTGTGGACTCTGTACAGTAGAGCTTCTGTTTTAGAAATCTGTTTATGCTTTTCTATTTATGAAAGGCAAAGATTCAATTTGTATTAGAGTGTGTGGAAGCCTCTGGATTCAATGCAATATATCTTTCTCTAAAGAGGACAGTCTAAAAGCAGTTCTTCATTTATGCAGAGGTAGATTTGGTGGGCTCCCTAATTTACAGAAGCTGGATTCAGTGTTCCTTATCATGCTTAATAGGGAGCCAATACGAACTGTACATTAATTGTAGAAGCAGAGAAAGGGGTATGGTGAATTCTAGGATGACAACATTGTGGCAGGCTATCTGAAAGTCTGATAAGGAAGTGCTTCTTTACAGCTCCTCAGAGCACAGTGAAGCAAGCTAAATCTCACTGGTATATTGCTATGAAGAAAAGGGAAGATGCTCAAGAACTCAACCTATTTTTACATCAGACCTGTTACTGGTATGATTTTTCTCTGCTGCATCGTTCAGTCTGCAGAAAAAGCTGATCTCACTGCATATTAAAGCTCCTACTTCAGGCTGCTTCAGGTTTCTTGTCTTTGTCTCCAAAAGACACTAATCACCACCCTTCATATCATCCTCCCTCAAAACACCTCAAAGCACAGCTGAAAAGAGTGTGATTTGTCCTTTAATCATGTATTAAGCATCTAACACCACAGGATTCTTGTGGACACCACAGCAGGGAGCCTTTCATATTTAGGTTACTGATTTGGTAAAAGCTCAGATTACCAGTGAGTGACCAGAAATAAATGCATGTTGATGTAGCCAGGGGGCTTACATGATATGAGTTAGGGGGCATCAGTACAATTCCCAGAGGAGATATGTCAGAACAACTTAGGAAAAAATATCAACCCAAGTGCCCACCTTGTTTGGTTTCTCAGCGGGAAGCCTGTGGACTGAGAGGACCCCAGAGATTGAACTGCCTTGTCACTTTTCATTATGTGCAATAGCTGCACAGCATACAAACACCTGTAGCTCCCTTTTCAAGGTGAAAAGACAAAAAGCAAATAGACAGCACTGTAATTTTATCATAAAAATACAGTGTATTGAAAACATGGCAATCCCTGCTGACCTCTCCTTTTTACCAGGCTCTCCTTTTTACAAAGAGGAAATGGGCAAGCATGAGGTGAGGAACCAAAAGCAGACTGGTTTTGACTCAAGCTAGCTGCTTCTTTTGGCTGTTGAAAGGGTGCAGCAGATTTCTAGAAGGCAGATGGGATGTGCCTTTTCTATCCCTGAAGTAGCAGGAATGCTTATTTTCATCACTGCATTGCATCAGCATCACTGCTTCTCCATCCTGGCTGGTTGTAGTGCCGTACTTATAACTGTGTGTGTCTCTGTGCAAAAGGACTTCTCACAGTCTGCCCTTTTATAAAATGATACTAGGTTAACTAGGTGGACAGACAGAATGTGAGAATGCCTATGTGCACATAATACACATAGTATTTTTATTACAAACAGGGTAAATCCAAAGAAGAGTGTGTCCTCCTCTTCCAAGGCTCTAAAGCTACCTTGTTCTCTTGTCCACAAAGACACTACCACTTCCCTTTCTTTGCTTCTTTTCAATCCAAAATATAACACCAATGTTTCTGAATTTCCCTTACTTTATGCCCTAATGCCCTGGCTTTGCCCCCTGCCTTCTGTTTTTCTCTAGGATCTTTCTTTAAGATGCCCTTCCTAAGACCTCCAGGTAAGCTTTTCAATATTGCCAAAAAATATAAACATTTTTCAGTCACTTCTATAAAAATGAACATCCTCCAGTCACTTCTATAAAACTACATAATGGTACCTCTCTTCCTAGTCTACTACAATGATAAATTAGAGCGAGAGAGAGTTTTTCAGTATGCCACCCTTTTTTCTTAAAGCTTTCTGAGAAATCTTCAGCAGCTATGGATGGATGTCTGAGTTCTGACACTACTGAATTCTTAAGGCACACAATACAGGCAGAGTCTCCCATGACTACACAGATGAACTCCTGGAATGTGATTTGGAAAAGGACCAGCCTTGTGGATGGGATCCAACAGGCTACCTCAGAAATTATTGCAAATTCCATCCAGAACTGGAATAAAGCAAGGGAAGGAATAAGAATATCCTCCTTAGGGCACAAGTGTGCCTTAATTACAGAATATAAGAGACCACACGGTATGATGATGAGCTTGTTAGAAGAATCTGAATTAATATCCAGCTCTTACATGCTGCTTTTTGTTAGAAGAACTCAAAGTGCTTCACCAGTGGCACAAAAATGATGATATTTTGCCAACACCAGCCAGTGGCAGGACCACAAATGGAAACCAGCTGTCCCAAGCGTCCTGGGAGAGTGTGCTAGTTCCTAGCCATACTTTCTCCCATAAAAGGAATAAGAAATGAGTTCAGCTTCTTGCATGTACCAACTGTAAATAAGCAGAAGGACACATGTGAATTCTTTCAGGGGTCACCTTCATAAAAATACCTGTTTTCTGTAGCTCTACAAACCCTTCTCCCAGGAGTGCATGGTAAAGACTGCATGATAGAGGTACTAGGCATATGTTTTCCCCCATATTTCTGCCTTTGTCTACTATAGCAGCCAGTGCAGCTTGGGCATAACTTGGAGCAAGCCTAACCTGCAGGGAAGTCTAACAGTTCTAACTGAAAGCAACACCAACTTCTCTTTGTCTTGGTATGAGCAGATGAGTAAATTCAGAGCAGTGATTGAGAAGTGGCATTTTGTGGTCCACAATATATTTTAACACCTTTTCATCATGAGATGACCGTGCATGCTTTTTGCACTCTTTCCCTATCTATTTGATTGTGCTTTCAGTAGCTGTAAACAGGGACACAATAACAGTCTTCCGTCTGCACAGAGTCTTGTTCTGCATTATTCATGCATTGCCTTCCTATTTCACACACTTATGTCAGCCCTCACTGAAGCAAAATTCATGCTAAATGATTCATGCTCTCTTTCTCTGTGTGTCTTTCTCTTTTTCTCTTTGAAATGGGAATGAGAAACAAAATGTAAAAAACTGGTAATCTGAGCGTCTATCTCTTATTTTTTCCTTCTTCCCTCCTCAGCTAGACCCCAATTCCCAGTGATATCTATATCTAGTGTCTTGATTTAGTGTGTCTGATGCAAAGAAAATGGAGCAGAGGAGCCACCATTGTTAAAGTCTCATCAGTATTGCACTGTTATGCACCGATTAATTCTAATTTTTGAGATTAAAGAAAGAAACCCCCCCATCTACAGATCCTTATCATCGTTGCTGCTGCCAGAAGTGATCTTCTCTTTCTCCTTTCCCTGTCCTGCCCTCAGGAAATTTGCCCTGAGAAGGTTCCACACCTATCTTAGGAGCATACTAGCTGCTTCAGGGCACTTGCTGGGTGCTATGCAGTTCTGTTTTGCTACTTTCATTACTTGAAACTCATATGGGATTAATAAAGGGCCAGCAAGAAGGAACACGTTGTGGCACTCTGTATATAGGGATGAATCCCAGCTTTGTGGTTAGTCTTTTTCTACTTGCATATATGATGCAGCTGAATGACTTAACCTGCAGTTGCCTGACTGTTAAGTCTCCAACACTACATCAAGAGATGACTGCGGTGCTGGTGATGGGTTGAAGAAAGCAACCAAGAACGCTGGAGCCAGTTTTCACAGTTCACCCCACAGTTCACCCCATAAAATCCAGAATGATTTTAGATGACTATACATGGCAGTGTCCAAGACTGCATTTTTCTATCTTAATATGGCTAAAAGGTTGCAATCATTGCCCTCAGAGCAGAAATCCCTACTGTCATCTATGATTTACGTCATGCTCAATGCGCTCTAAAGCACTGCATCAGGGGATGTTCTCTCTGCACTAAGAAACTGAAACTACTGTTGAATGCAGATGACTGCCAGCTGAATAGACTTTCTCACTGGGAATTACCAGTGCTTGCCAAGCTGCAGTGGGTGGCCATTGCTTTTCTTGGGGAATGTGAAAGGTTCCTTTGGTTCGTTAGAGCCCTGAGTAAGACCAGTGTAACCAAGAGATACGTACCTCCCACTGAGATCCTGCAGTGCCATAGTCAGCAGAGACACTTCTGCTGATGCCCTGCCTGTAGTGACAAACAGGCTGAGTGCTTCTGACAGGGCACACCACATAAAAGTCTTATAGTTTTTTCCCTCCTTATGGTCCTGAAATATATTTATATTTTACATCTCATCTGTTGCATTTTAGTGTCTGCTACAAAAGCCACCTACTGGACGTGTGGAGCATGAACTTTCCTTCTGGAATCAACCAGTTAAGTCCAATTACACTGTTACCTTTCTCTGAAACTGGCCCATGTCAGAAGGATTATGGGGAAGGCGGAGACAGACCATTGATGACAGGTTTGAGTACAAGGATTATTGCAGTAATACAGTATTTTTCAATTACAGAATTGTGCTATATGGAGACTTCGTAATGTTGCTGAGAAATTATCCTTTGTAAGGATTTGTATTTCTTATCTAGAAATTAAGCAGGTGTGGCTTTTTTGCATTAAGAAAATTAGAGAATAAAGCAAGCAAGAAGGACTTACTTGAAGGAGTTTTTTCCTGATATTGATAGTAAATGCTCTTTCATCTTTCTTATATTCTTCCTGGTTAAAAGGCTTTTGAAACAAGGTGAATTTTTTTGTGGTCTTTACAGTTTAGATGCCTGTAAGCACATCACAGTGCTTTTCCACATTAGCAGATTTTTCTAGCAACATCAGCCAAAGGAAGCTGTCTACTGCCAAGGAAGCTCTGCAATTGCAAAACTGTGAAGAAAGACACACCAAGACGAATGGGAATTGTTTTATCTCTTCACACACCAAGACAAAGGAAAATTGTTTTATCCCCTCCAAAACCTGCCCCATTCTGTGCAACCTCATTTTCAGAGCAATGATTATCCTGACATCTGGGTATGCTCAGCTGGGTTTGCTCTTGCTGGACTGTATCAATCAGACCCAGCCTCTGTTGCTAGTGATGCAATTTCTGAGTGGCTTCTTGGCTCAGTTCAGGGGTGGGATCCTCTTTTGCTGGGTTAGGACCAGCTTCATCCTGGCCTCCAACAATGGGTGGAACAGTTTCCTTGCCATGCTTTTCTCTACAATCCCTTCATCTGACTGTTTCTTTGGGATGAAGAGGGAATGCTGACATTTGTGATGCTTTGTTTCCCACCCTGTCTTTATTTTTGCATCCAGAAGTCCTCCAAAGACCCAAATCCATCTTCCACACAGTGAAGCAATGCTGGAGAAGAGGAGGGGAAGGACTGCAGGCTGATTTCCAGGGGACTGCAGTGCTCAGCAGAGGGATTGTATCCAGGCAACCTGCTTCCCTTGCCTGAGACAAGGACACACAGCTGGGACTTTGGAAAACTAAGAAGAAGCTACTGTAAAGAGTGGGCTACATGGAGGCAGCAGGGGAAATGGTGCAGGGGGGAGCCGTGTTATTTTGAGCAGGTTATTTCTGCCCTGGCATCTTCATGACACTGGACCCGGCTGCAGTAGCCAACTGAGCCACCCAGCTGCTCCTTTCTTAAGTCCCCACCAAAGGAACCGGCTTTTTCATTCTCAAACCTGAGGGCTTGCCTGGGGAAAGGGCTTGCCCTGTCTTTCACAGGAGCCATTCCCCAGCTCCTGAGCAAAGAATATAGTACACTATAATCCTGCCTCCTGGGGCACAGTGAGAAAAAGCCGTGTATTGTTTGGAAAGCTCAAATCCTGCACCATGATGGATGGGCAGACAAAACAACATAGAAACAAAACAATGCAGACAAAACAACACAGGCAGAAGATGCTGTGAGACATCAGAGTGGCCCATGCTGAGGTCCTGCACAGACAAGCACCTCACTATTAAAACCTCCTTTATTGCATTGCTTTCTACCTCACCTGGTGCAGGTGTCTTAGATCCTGCACATCTGCTTTGACCAAGGTCCTAGGATTTGGGCCCAATTTCAGACCTCATATGTTGCTTTACCAGCCAGGAGCAAGGGTGGGCTGCCATCAGCTCTGCAAAACACAGGGAAATCCTCCCCACAATGACTACCTCATTCTCCAGCTAAAGGCAAAGACCTGACTTTCTCCAGGATCCAGCACCTTCTTGCTTGTCAGCTGTTCATCGTTCACTGGCAAGACCCATCTAATGGCAAGGTAAAAGGTGTGTCCTTCAAGTGGAGCTGCCTACATGTCCTCCTCACTCCTCTGGAGGTCCGGCTTTTAGGGATATTTAGAGACTCCGCACGGGATGAGGAAGCCCATCGCCCTTTGGCGAGAGATCCTCCAGGCTCCCAAACAGAGGGAAGTAAAATTGCTCTTCGTTCCTCTTTCATGCTCAAACAGTGCTATTGTCCCTCACCTCAAGCAGTCCCCTTTGTTTACAACAACTCTATTCTATCTCCCTATCTCCCTGCTCTTTCTTTACTGTCTCCTCCTCCCTCCTTCATATGGTTTTTCAGATCTGAGTTCCATCACCCCGTCTGCCTGGGCTGGCAAGACTGCTTATTAAGCAGAGCTAGGCTAGGAGGGGCTCCTACCCACGGCTCAGGCATTTCCTGACCTTTCAAGTGCCTCTCCCGGAGGAGTACCTCCGTTGCCTGCCCTTTGACTTTTTTCAGTGCTTTTTAACCTGTGACTGAGTAGCTCACAAAGTGTCGTTTGCCAAGAGGAGAGAAATGAACTGGGGGGAGGAAGGGGAGGGGCAGGGGGCTTGGAGAGAACATTAAGGAGCTAAAAATAACCATGGGTCAACTCTGAACGAGCCTGAGGCACTTCTCCTCCCCCTGCCCCCAGCTGATGCCGCAGTCAAAGAGAGGACAAGCAGCCATGAAATATTCCGACCGTCTTCAGAAGCGGCTCCTCTCCCTTCCCTCAGGGCATGCCTGATGCCAGGACGGTGATTGCTACACTACTATAGAAAGAGGAAAACAAACAAATTAAAAGGATTCTGCCCCAAAATAACCCCTCTGCCTCTTGGCACCATCTCAGCCACAGAAAATTTCGTGAACCACAGATGTTAGGCAGGAAAATACCTATTAGTTCCCATCGATTCTCCAACCAGGAGGTGAGAGAAGTTAGTGCCAGATTATTCCCTCCAGTCAAGTATATCAGACAAGAAATTCTCTTCAGAGACAACAGACAGAGACACAGATCTCCACAGCCTCCACTTTGAACACAGTGACTTCAGATATCCATCCAGGTCTGATTCAGAACGGCACATGGGGATGAAGCAAAGAAGCTTATAAAGCCCCATGATATAACATCTGGTGTTTGGTAAGATCTAACTAAGAACTGAAAACAAAGTTTTGTTTGTCCTAACCCATGACTTGCATGAGGAAGTTTCACCAGCTTGCATGTGAATTAAGAAGTAAGAAACACAAAGCAGAGGCAAGTGTTTTCTAATGTGCCTGCAGAAAGCAGTACTACTAATTTAAACACACTTTACATGGTATTTTTAAAACCTACACACAAATTTAAAGATAGCAGAGGCCGGCAGAGGTAAGAAATGCACTTGAACCAATCCAGTCTTTAACTCTCATTTCCCTTCTTTCAGATCCCTGCCTATTCAGTATACCAGACATGTTAAAGTATGCAGCAAATGGGGACATCATCAGCCTTCCTTCTAGTCCAGTGAATTGAACCAAACTCAAATTTCAATGTCTGGTTTCCCTCTCCAGTCTTCTTACAGCCTGAGCTTATGCACAAGGGATTCAGGACTACTAGAAGGTTTGATGTTTTTTCAAATGCATGTCCTACTAAAGGAAGTGATGCACACCTTACCAGCAGATTTCACAGCTGTAAACTGACATATGAGACATATCAGTATGCAGATATAATGAATTGTGAACCAGAATCCATAGGAGAGTGCTTTATGATTGTTTATGCTTTTCCCAGCTTCATCGGTGTTCCTGTGACCTTTCTGCTCTCACTCATATATTTCCCCATTCTTCCTATCTTCTACACCATCTTCTTGTCTGTCCCTGCCACTCAACTTCTGCTCCTCTCATGCTTTGAAATTTGAGAGAGAGAGAGCTAAAGACAGGAACCAAATTATACTAGCCAGGTATGGAGGCTGCAGGCAATAGTGATAAGAAGCACAACCACACAGATTTGTCATGTATAGTGCTACACACTGGGATTAACTTCAAGGTCTGGGGAGCTTTGCTTCTCTCACTATTTACAATATAAAACAAAAATAAATGAGCAGCTCTGAAGTGGAGAGGGGAAGTGGGCGAGATCCTCACAAATTCTGTGAATTTCCCTCCCTTTGACAACAAAATGAGAAAGAATAAAATTTGCTACAGAACTGGCTACTTCCCATTTGTCATCAGCCTGCAAAGCACTGTAGAGTCCAAGGAAAACATGAAGTTCAGCCAAGCTGAGCCTTCCCAGCTCTCAGACTGAGGACATTCCCACTGTGCTCCCTGAACTCTTCTCCAATGGGCCTGCTGACACCAGTGCACATTCACTGATATAACATAAAGGTGGGAGAAATTGAGCCAAATACATCCAGGGACTTGCAAACACGTAACCCAGCTAGTTACCTCTTCAGGCAGGACTAGCTCATGCAGAGCACAAAAAAAGGATAAAACAGCCCAGGAGTTGTGGGGAGGGAGATGGTGAACTGTTACAGTGAACAGGCCTGAAGGACCTAAGAGGCTCTTGTCACAAAGCCCCAGGAACAATCCATCTAACATTTGCCCTGAATCCTATCCTGTGGGGAATAAAGGAATGAAAGGAATTATCTAATCCTATCTTCCAATCCTGTGACCACCCTAACTAATCTCAACATTGATTTAAAGGGTAGTCTGCAGGATGCTCTTACAAGATGCTTCCTGAAATCATTTTCCCTTCTGTTGTGAAAGTAGCCTTCTAGCTTTAAGAAGGTACCACTTGACATGGCTAGGGAAGGGCAGAGCTGAAGCTGAGTCTGTGAGAAAGCCCCTACTTAGCAGCACCTCTCAGCTCCCAGCACCTGACACTGGAAGGCTGCCATTCTCCTCTAATCCCAGAACACAAACCAGACCAGCCTTTTCCCACTGCAAGCTGCCTTAAGATACCATCATTGCCTTTTTTCAGAAAGGCAACCTGGACTGTATCAATGAGTGGTCTGGTGTCCAGCAGAGAAGTGTGACTCATTCTTTCTTTGTCACAGTCACAAAAGCCACAATAGAACATGTTGCCCCTGATGGCAGGAGACAGGAGAGGATGACCCAGAAGGTCATCCTTGAAAACCCTTTCTTCCAGTCCTATGTTGCTTGCCCAGCGAAACTGAGAGAGAAACAATGCTTTCAATGTTGAGAGAGAGGATCAAGAGACTTTAATTTGTCCCTGCTTTGCCACTGACTGTGAAGGGTTTAATGTATCCCTTCTATTACTTTACCTGTAAAACATGGGCACTAAAACACACTAAACACAAGAAAAGTGTAGAATTCAATGAATGGATAATTGTGTATCTTGGGAACAAAGTATGCATTTCCAATTAACTGAAAATATTCTCTATTGCCACCTGCCTTTGTAAAGCACCTTCATTGCTCAGGAAGAAACATGTAATACACAGTACACATTATTAAATTAGTCATTCACCCTACAATTCTATATGCCAGCATATTCATAATGTGCCAGTTGGTTTGGTTTCTAGGTGAGAAATGCACAATATTGAAATCAAATTAATGAAATAAAATTCTTCACATATTTCTGATTAGAAATGCTACAGAGGATTTCCAAAATTATGTTGTTAACAGAAAAACATATGGCTTGCCATGTCCAGGAGGTTTTTATTGCTGCAGTTGGTGATATGGTTTGGGACCCCCAAGACAAAAGATGTTACATAAATATCAAAGCAAAAGTATTTCAACAGTTTCTCACCAACAAAACCCTAATGGCTTTCTGCATACTTTGCATAGTTGCTTATTACTATTTTTATTATAATTTTTTAAAAGTCAAGTAATATATTAATTATGATTGTAACTATTACTCCAGATTCTCTGATGTATTTTCTTTCAGATGGGACCAGAATCCCAATGACTATCTCCCAGTTTGGGCAGTTCTATCTTCTCCCACTACTACTGAGTTTCAGCTGGATATAATCTGATTCCTACCATAAGAGATGATGAAAGTGTTACTCTGTACTGTTAAATAATTGTCATGTGCATTGACTGCATTTCAACAATGGGATAAGTAACTTTTGTGTTTTATCTGTAAACACTTGGCATATTTCAAATTTAAATGCTTACTTAAAGAGTTAATTTCAAATTTTTGTGCTTAGTGATCTTTATCCCTTCTCTTTTAATTTCTTTCTAGTCCAGATCCCCTGGTCTAAGTGGGTGGGAAGATTACAGAACTCAGCTTAAAGTGTCTTTAAGCTACTTAAATACTTCTGCAGTAATTCTGGGGCTAGTGGCAGGTCAGTTTAGCTCCTAGGGATCACACCAATGGCATCACCTGCTCAAACAAGACAGAGCTAGAAGATGGGACCTGCAGGTCGGAGCATTCATGGGCCAGATGAACATGGGAAAGCACAACTGCAGGATGAAAGGGCAGCAGCTGTAAGAATTGAAGATTTTCAGGGGGAGTTTTTAACCACTGGTTTGAGAATCAGCTGTGATTTCAACAGCCACATCTACCCAACTGGACTGAACCACCTCCAGCGCAGAAAAAAGCCTCAGGGAGAAGATGAAAGTTTAATTAATTAATGCTTGTAAAATGCTTTGAGACCCTCAGATGGAACACACTAGAGAAGTAGAAAGACTTAATTATTTTTACCACCAATATTATGGGGGCCAGTGATAATATCTCATTTAGATGCTATAGTCCTTTCATTCTTTTTAGGCTGGATCTGACCTGCATGTGGTATCTGAGACCTAAGAACAGCCAGGAGAAATGGTGAAATTATAATCTCAAGCATTTGGTTTGTAAAAATCAAATATCCCTTTTCAGGGATATATGCTCAACATTTTGTCAGACCTGCTGCGAAAAAGCAATCAACCTACAGCATGAGCACACTGAATTTGGCCTTTGTCTCCTGCCACAGCAGTTCTTTTTCCCTTATTTCACTTTACATTATTTTGCAACAGGAAATGTAGCTATTAGCTAAATGGCAGCAAAATATTCATACTGCCATTATCAAAGTTAACCTGCTGAATAAGCACAAGGAGGTACTGGCTAGTTTAGCAGGACAGGAAAACAGACTCCAGATCCTTTCACCTCCATGTCACCAGGTCCAGCCCAGTCTAGATTGATGATTGCAAAAATGCCATTTGACACGTTTTTGGCATGCTGGACAAAATTAACTGGGCAAGGGAAGGATGGAAAAATCTCAGCCCAAGTCCCACTGGGACAAGTGTCAACACTACAAATGGCACTGCCTGCCAGGTCAAAAAAAGAGGCTATTGCATTCCTCAGGCACATTACTTCCAGGAGGGCAGGAATAATGTCACGACCATGTTAAAGAAATGCGCCCTGTCTTGCATGTACCTTTAGGACTCCAAAATCAACTGAGTGCCTTCCATCACAAAAATTATCTACTTTAAAGAGCAGAGGTGAGAAAGTGGTATTAGTGAGACGGGAGTGTTATTTGCTGGCACTTTCCCAAAAGTAGTTGTTTTAGGAATGTGCTTCAGGAAAGAAATGGGAATCTGGGAATTACTGTTAGTAACTATCTGTTGTATCTCCGTGTTACTAAAATACATCTGCACTCCTGCACTGTATCTATCCCTGATTTGTTTGCTGCAGGAAGTGTAGCTCATTTGGAATAAAATTCAGTGGGATGAGTGGCTGACTTTCAATGTTACAGTATCTTACACTCTTGAGTCTTTGCTGTAACACATGGACATTACCTTGTCATTAACCTATTTTTCATTATGATATCCTGATGCCCCTTCAGATGTTCTTGTAAATGCTACAGTCAGCATGACTCTTACTGCAGTAGCACATGCACCTCATATGTACAAGTCTGGATTTCTAAGCAACTGTGTTTGGCATATCACAGAACTGTAGAAAGTTAAGTGCTGTAAAATTACATAATTAAAATGGAAGGCCTGAATTTGCAGTAAAGCTACGCTGAACTTTATCTCTTGTGATAAAGAGATATAAACCACTTTCTGACATTCACAAGGAAGGTTAACAGAGAGACAATTTGGCTGATCTTTGTCCATGGTTCCTTATGGGATGCATATCTGATAAATTATGTGTATTTCATGGAATAGATAGCCTTGGATTTTTTTATATGGTGCAAGATTTATGGAGTTTCTTGGTACTGCAGAAGTCCAAAGAAAAGCAATGAGGACCTGCTGTTTTCATGCACCTGTAGTGGTTTGAATCCTGGATGAAATGGGTTTACTCCTTGTAACTCCCTGTCCTGGCTGACAGGATGAGAAAATTCATAGGTTAAAGTTTTGAAGCTCAGACACAGCAGCATAATCAAAGTGCTGTGTAACCACTGCCATGACAGGATGAGCAGAAGGAAGGCCCCAGCTACATTCCTTGAGAGGAGAACAGGAGTACCTATATGGCCACAGCTCCTCCGCAGCCACATTCATGTGTAGATGTACAACCCTGACCCAAGCCAAAGCTACAGTTAGATCTTTTTAAGGGATGAAGAATCAAAGCATGAGGAAGGGACACCCAGATTCAAAAGCTATTTAGACACCTAATAATACAGATAGATGACAGCTAGTATTTTCAGAAAACTCTGTTCAGCAGCTAAGAGATCAGTAAAAATCTGCCCCAAATCAGCCTATAGCCAAGCAGAAAATCACAGGGGTCAAAGACAGAGAGGTCACCATAGGAACAGCAAGCTGCTTCGTATCAGCTGCTCTGTAGGAAGCACCTTGGTGCATACTCCTCTCCTTTGGTAAAGGTGAAGTAGTGTGAGGCTACTGTGGCTTCTGTTGTCTGTCAGCAGAAAGGAATTATCTGTCTCAGGTTTAGTGTGGATAGAGGTGAGTAAACGGATATGGCGCTGCTAGTCTCTTGATACAGAGGCAACTTACAAGGCAGAGCATTACAGTTCCTAGAAAGAAATCCAACAAACTCAGAAAATAAAACATTCTGACCTACTTTCACCTCCACGAACCTAGTCCTTCCTTAAAAGCTTACATAGATACATTCACTTGTTGCTAGGCTCTCAGCAGCAGGATTTGAAGTCCAGGGATTCCAGTTATGCTTAGCAAAGTAAAATGTAGTGGTGCCTGGAATACAAAGACATTGTCTCTCACCCCCATTCTCACAAATAGGAGGACTGAATGCTTTTGCAGCTCTCACTTGAGCTCAGCTTTTGTGAAAGCCTGTAAGCAGAGAGATGGATCTTGGAGCACCCAGAACAAAGCCCACTAAACCTTCAGGGGTCACAGCAAGGCCTTTCACAGCTGGGGTCACCACTGAACTTTGGCTAAATCACTCTGACCAGCTTATCATCATAAATGAGGATAATAACATGGTAGTGTCTGACTTACAGGGACATGGATAAGCAATGGGTGAAGGTGAAGCTAAAAAAACAGATGTACTTGACCTTTCATCTTGGGTCCTCTGAGGACTTGCAACTCACACCATGTCTGAGAGCACTGATGACTTGGCCTCAGAGACGGAAAGACAAGAGGAGATGCAGAGGATTTTAACAACAAAGTGTGTTTGTAGTTCCACTAGAGCTGAATCCAGGAAATTTCACTGTTCACAGCATGGACCATGACTGCTGCAGCCTGCTTTGGAGGCAGTGACCTCTGCCAAATGGTGACAGAACTCAGCTCCTAGTTCAGCTTAATCCTGACCTGCAGCTCCACCTTTTAGCCCCTGGCTTCCCAAATCGCTTTGACAAGACACTGAACTCCTGACCTACAGAATCCTCTTTTAGTCCAGTCTTTATCCCCCTCTGTCTCTATCATTTCATCACCCTAAGCTCTGCCAAAGCCTCTCACTCTGCATCTGTGACACCTTTCTTACTCCCATACTGAACATACTAGCAATGCCGTTCTCAACAATAAAGTCTTCTGCCCGACCCTTGCCAACACTCCTTGACCCTTACAGTACCGGTTTTGTTAGCCACACTGATGGGTTAAACTGAACCCCTCCCGATTTGTAGTGCTTCTGCTAGTACAATTCAGGGCTCAGCCTTCCTCCAGCTGTGTTGATGCACCTCCCTCTTAAGAGGCTCTCAGCGTACTTTATTCTTAATGGCTACAGCCTGCAAAGATGCTGAAACAGGAAGCCAAATGAATGCTGTGCAGCCTTGGGAATGCAAATTCCATGTGTTTGTGAAGTCAAAGCAAGCCATTTCCTTCCCCAGTCCCTCCTCCCTTCACAGGCGTGCAAGCCGCAGCTAATAGGAAAACACACAGGCACACACAAAGCTTTGTCCATGCTAATTGCCAGGAGCTGAGGCCCAGTCATCCTGTTGACTAATTTGTCAGCCGCTGCTGACTCAGCAATCTGGGGGGGCAGTTTCTCTCGAGCACTTAAGTGCATTGGGAAGTAAATGGCTCTTATTGTTCTTTCCTTCCCTTCACTTTGGTGTCTGTATTTGTGGACAATTCTTGCCCCGGGCTTGACCTTGGCTGCAGCAGTGACTGGAAGGCTGGGATCGCCACAGCTAGTGGGCCTCTCATTAAACCCTAATGGAAAGAACAGACAAGAAAAGGGGGCAATGTGTAACCTCATCTGGAAATAGCATGTACTCTAGCAGGGCAAGACAGAGAGAAGAGTGAGGAAAGAGCTGACCTGAATTCTATGCCTTGCATGAGTTAAAAACAAGTGAGATCAACAAACTGGGCTGTCTGGAACAAACATGCCTAAAACAGCCTGAAACATGCAGGACTTCCTCACTGTTTCCTCTGCCCTTTGCTTGAACAACAGATCTAGGAATAAGCCCAGGCAAAAGTCCTCAGGCCAAAGGGAGGAACTGCTGGTGGTGAACTGCAGATGACACAGGAAGAGGCAGAGGCATCCTTGGGCTGATGCTGCAGGCAGGACAGACACCTGCAGCCAATCCATGCAGCAGTGTGCAGTTCTGAACAGCCATGCACAAGGGCCATCCCATATCCTGGCTGTGTAAGGGCTTGTTTGCCAAAAAGCTTACTGGAAATTGAGAGACAAAGTAGAGGAGGAGACAGAAAACAAAGTCCTGTGGAATTCCCTTTAACCCAGACTATTCATGGAAATCAGTGCCCCAAAGTGCACAGGTAGGACAGCCCATAGGCACACCTACCCCAATGCACAGTGGCCATGAACATGTATTTGTCCCACAGCTGCTTAAGCCCATG